GTCTCCGTCTCGACGTAGTCTGACTCTCTCTCCATTGTGTCTCTCCGTTCAGGCGCTGTTGCGGAGCCGACCGGATGACGTGGAGAGCTTCAGCTGGGGCACCCGGTCCAAGGCTTCGGTCGAGTGGCTTGGTCCACGTGTGTGACCAAGTCTCACCCGAATGCGGTGCAGCACAGCAAACCACTTCTGTGTAATGTTCTGCACAAATTATAGCGAGGACAAACGAGGCAACGAGGTGGCTTGCACAGAATAAAGTAACTTGCACAGAATGTTGGTTTCAGAGGTTTGTATGTGAAAAACCTTGACTGATTAATTATATAACCCACTGACTCATGTTTTTTACAAGTGAGTTGAAACCATCAAAATGTGTCATCGTTCGAAGGAGACCATGTCAGACTTAAGAGACTTCCTTGCATCCCCGAGCCCTTTGCATCGCTGATACATCAGCAAACGCCACCAGCGAACGCCATGGGAACACCGCTAATCAGGTGCTGAATGGCTACTCCATTGGCACAAGGACAGACCTTCTCACGCTTGAAGATGCATCCAAAAACCACCCATCCGACCCATCCGAGATTACCCTATCCGCTGGATAAACATACCGGATGTCAGATGTTCATGAAGCATACTTGAGTCCGCACCAGCCTGGTCCGGAGCAACATCCACACAACGCATCACAAAGCTAAGATCGATCCTTTTCCTCACCAATTTGGGCTTGTCAAAATTATTGGAGAATCCGAGTCTGCCCAGCAGGTTATATACTTGATGTTGGTAGTTTGCCTACCTAATTGTTTGCATGTAAGCAACGTCATAAACCCATATAAAAGAATTTAGGTAGGACTTAAGATTATGAATCTTTGCGAAAGGAAAACTGCAGTTGGGGAAAGCTTGGCGAAAGGTTTGGAGAAAGGCTCTGAATTTTTGATGAAAGGATTTTGTTGCGAAAGGGTTGGCGGAGAGGTGTTCAGTGCAAAGCATGTCATCCAAAGATTTCTGATAACCAGGCGAAAGGTTGGCGAAAGGTTCGCGAAGATGTGGCGAAAGCAGTGGTTGCAGATTAGGAATGTTCCCCTTTGCTGATATGTGTCTTAGATGTAAGTAGCAGAAACTCGGCGAAAGGGTTAAAGGAAAAGAGGTTGTTGAGTGAAGTAGGTCGGCGAAAGCAAAACATGCAGCCGCGAAAGCGTTGCGAAGGGATTTGGCGAATGGTTTTTATAATCTTAATACAAGTTCTGGATGGTTTTTGACACCGCTCATGAGTTTGTATTGTTTCAAGTTTATTACAGAGCAAGAACGCAGATTGTGTTGTTTTTGTATGTGTTCCTGAGAAAGAAGCCTTTTTTGTTGACACACACACACACATTGTTTTTGTGACGGTCCTGCTTCTAAGTGGGCTCCAACCTGCCCAACTGCATTTTTGGTCTATACACATCCGTGTCACATGCTACTAGATTAAATTATACCAGTCTTTGGCTTACCTACTTGGCAGGACCACCACGAAGAGCAGCAGGAGGAGCGGCTGAATACATGGAAACCTTGGGAGTTGCATGGAACACCTCCCTCAAAACAAGAGATTTCGAGTCCGAATTTCTAATCCGGTCAACGTGCTGTTCTGTTCTTTTCCTGGCTGCTGTATGGACGCGCGGGATGGTGAAGCAAACCTCATGACAAAACAGTTCGCCCTCCGTCTTTGACAGCGGCCAATTGGTAGTGGTCTACGGATTTTGTCAGGCAAAAAGACAGGCTACAGAGCTATTGTTCGAGAGCATTTGATGTCAAGCAAGTCCCTGTATTGGTTAGAAATAGAGGGGAGGTTCTCAAAGGCTGCTATATAAAACAATCATTGGGAAGTGTGGGGCACAGGCAGCTTGCGGTCATTCATAACTTCCCAGCTTCATAGAGTTACCTTCGTGATTTTGACTATCAGATCTGCCAGGTCATTCAATCAAGTCTAGTGACTAGTGAAATGCAGGTGCCTGGCTTCAGCCATCCCGGAACATTTGCTGTCATCCCATGAATGTGAGCCTTCTTTAGCTCTCATGTTTTACTTTGAATGCCATGGGCCTCGCTTCAGTTGGGAAGCCCCTCGTCTTGGCATCTTCAGATCCACTTTTCCCATGTTTTCCACGCCGGTCGTGGGCAAGAAAATCCCAGGATCTGGAGCCGCTCCGAGCAGAAAGGGATCACTATCGTACCCAGTCAGGGACCAAAAGCGACTCCAAAAGCGCCGGAGAAGTCGGAGCAGGGTGTTCTGTGTCCCCAAGTGTCAAGAACTTGCAAAACTCATTAAACTTATATCATGTTAGTTATGTTTGTTTGGATCGTTTATATTTATATTATAGACATATAATTAACTATATGGTGTCGTTTTCTTGATGTTTGGTTCTCTCAAAAGCCTAGAGTCAAAAGAATGATCATGCGGTTTACAGACCTCTCCCCACCGATTTGAAGGAGAAACGGCGAATAGGTTGTTCGGGTCCCACTCTACTGAGAAGCTGAAGCCGTTTTGGGACCGGCGGAAGAGGCTTCCCCTCCACCACCGCAAGGCAGAAGTAAAATCGAAGAACCCTTTATTGGAGGTCCAAGTCTGGTTCATGTCTCGGGATTGATTGTTTTTAGCCAGTGCAGAGAGGTTGTTGTTTCTCTTCTACGAGGATGTTGATGCGTTAGGGCCCCCACATGCTTTTGCCTTGCGGCATCTTATGACACTTGTAATGGCAGTGCCACTTAAATTCAAGCGATTTTTGTATGAGCAACATATGTTGAGCACTTTTCTTTGTGGCCAGCTATGTCATGACAGTCCATTGCAGTGTCAGATATGGCTGTCAGGGTCGCTTCCTTTCCAGCCTTCGGTTCCCCTGGCCAGCGAGCCGATGAGCACGAGCTCGGTGTCCCAAAACGGAGGCGTGACCAGCTTTTGCAAGAGCTTCAAGCACTTGGAGAAGGTGCCACTTTTGCAGATATGTGGTCATGTCACATTGTCTCAGGGACCCCCAAAACAGTCAGCAGTTTGCGCAATCATGGAGCTTGCAGTGCAAAGTGTTTTTTTTAAACAAAAATGAACATGTTGTGTATACTTTTACATGCTTTTACTATTGTTCTTAGCTGATTAAAGGGGGCATGAGCGTCATTGAGTCGGTAGAGATGAGATACTAGATGATATATATATATATATACTTGCAACACTTGATGCAGGCCAAGTTCTCCTCAACTATAAGTTATTATAAGTGATGTAGCCTGGTATCTCGCTTTTACAAGGAAAGATTAGTTTACCCTGCTCATCGGGTAAGCCTCGCAGGTGCACAGTGAGCCAGGAACTCAGGATAAAGTGCAATCTCCTAGTCTTGTGAGGCATGTTCAACGTCGTTTCTTTGGTTACAGTAATTTGACAATGGGATGAGCCATGACTGTCAATCCAGATGGTGCAATCGTCGAAACGACATACTGTATATGAACTGTATCAATTGAATCCAATCCAATCGATTTGTGTGTGTGCGCTTTTTTTGTGCAAAGCAGTTTTGTGGTCCATGCTGGAGACATGTGGCTGCTCGAAGGTTAGAACTGAAGGGCATCATGCTGACAAACAAGCAGGGCACTTGACCATCCTACCAAGGCAATTGACCAAGAGAGCACATAGATGTTGAACATGGATGAAAACTGCTCTGCTGGAAGTCTGGAAGCATGAATTTACAATGGCTTTACCATGTGATGCCACATACTGCAAGTCGACATGATCAATTCTGCTTTTGGATTTCAAACATTGGCAATGTCTAAACGATCGGCTGCATTGAACCGCGGACATATAGAGTGAATTCCCTTGAAGAAGTCTTGCAAATCTATTCCTACCTTCCTTATATATAGGGATCTCTACATGTCCGAAAAGATACCGAACACTGCCAACTTCGGCCGGGTTTGCACTGCACCACAGCGCCATGTCGGAATTGGAATCGCCCCTGAGGGCCCAGATGGCGCGCGCCAAAACACGCGAATCGTTCCGTCCGGGGGCGGATTGGGAGCCTTCGGTGGAGCATTGGACCCCTCAAATTGGTGGAGCTCTCGGTTCAACGCTCCGGTGGTGCGCATCACCTGGTTTGAGAACCCCGATGGAAGGGTGATCGAACGTGTATAGCAGTATAGTAGACATTGTGTCTCGTTTGAGGCGAGGTTCGACGCTGGGTTGGAGACGGTGTTGGACGTCGCTGTGGACATTTTGGTGGACACCCCCTAGAATGATATCCTTTGGGTTTTGTCCTATTGGCTGTAACAGTCGGTAAAACAATAAATTATCATAAATTATCACTCTTTTAGAGAAAGGCCTTCAGTACTGTGACTGGTAATGGGATAGACCCAAGATATCCTGCTCATTCCTGCTCCACGTGTGGCACCTCAACCCAATGGGATGCTCAGAGGTTGGTCCACAAAAGGGTCTCGCCAGTGAGTAGCGACCCTTCTACTTGAATCCTTGGGGCATGGTTTCCCTAAACTATCCTAAACTAAAGATTAAGTATACAAATAAGTAGAAAAGCGCTACCGGCTTAGCTCTACTAAATGATGAAGTAGAGATTAGTAGAAAGGCGCCATTGGCTTAGCTCTTTTACTCTTTTTCAGAAAGTAAAGGCATCATCCAGCACCTGACTCTGACCACCTGATGGCATTTCACCCTCAAACCATTCACAAGACCAGGAGCTGACATCAGCATTTTGAATTATCAATATGAGTGCTAGTGGCCCAACGGTCCCTTTCTTTGGCCTGATCGCCAAATGGCGGATGGTTGATCAACACGGAACGGGTTTGGCGGATGGGGTATATATATATAACTCAGATGTTCTATACGTGGGTGAATCCACCTCAACTGGGGAATCGCCTTGATCCGAATAGTGATTCAGTGATTCCACTTCTATTAATCCACTTCTATGGGAACAGTGGTTTTACCTTTTTACCCCGGGTCGTGGCGCCAGGCCAAGTCCTTGAAAGAGTTGTTGAGACTGAGCCTCCCGGTGATGGCCACTCAAGCTTTGAGACAGGACCTCAGATGGTCAGAGAGAGAGAGAGGGGTTCTTTGAGGGGGATGGGGCGAGGATGGAGATGACTCTATTTGTTTCAGCAAGGCGATTGGGTGGTGATTGATATCTTCGTGATCTTTGGGTAAGAGATACTGTCCAAACATGTCCAAAACTGAAAGCAGCTCCTCTTGGGCCAGGCTGAAGATGTTGCCCTCGGGACCACCCGCGATGACGCACGATCTCGACGATCTCTCCGCCGGGCGTCCGACGGATCGGACCCAGGTGTTGGCGCAGATCGATGGACCTTGACCTTCGTGGGGCACTATGATTACCAGAATCGGTCCCATTTTGATGGCGCAGGCCGGGGAATTCTGAGAAAACTGAAGACGGGCGCAGTCAAGGTCAGGATGGATCAGAGATGTCGCAGATGTGCAAGATATAGAAGCCGATCTGGAGACATGGCAAGTTTTTGTGGGTTGTTTGAGTAGTTTTGCGTAAGCAAAGAAAGCTTGGGTTCCTACCTATATCAGAGCTTTGGTTGTGTTGTTGGGTTGTGTGCATGGTATCTTCTAGCTTGGAGCGAGACTGGAGCGGACAAGGACCCCGGACTGGTCTCAGACCTCGTGGAATCTTCTCGTGCCTCCCAAAAAGTCTACGACTCTAGAGGTCATATGAGGTCATAGCTTCCAATACTTCTGCATCAGCTCAGGCATTGGAAAGATGTATTCCAACATCACAGGCCTTTCGCTCGGCGTGAGCGCACCTCGGACGACTCAGCCTTACGCCACGGACCGGTCGGCCAGTGTGTGCACCCCATGTGCTCCACCTGATGTTGGCTCCTTTCGCTAGCTTCCGATGTTTGGGTGTATGGTTGGAGGGATGGTTGGAGGGTCTCAGTCTACTGACCTGAGAAACTTGGACTCGTGATGATTCATGATTCATGCGTTTTCTCGAACGCAGCTCCAATGTACCAAGCTTAAAATATGAGCGGTTGCCACCTCCACAGCTTGGACAAGTGTGTGAAAGGAAGTACTGCGGACCGTGGGTTTACCTTCCCCACACGAGAACGCATCGGGCGTTTTTTGTTGACAGCCTCAGCACACGGCCGAGGCGACGATCGGCTTAGCGACCTTTTGCAGCCAGGCCTGGTGGATGAAACAGCGAAGGAGATCTGTGCCACCTCAGGTATCTATAATTAGCGGCTAATTAGCGGATATCCTACTCCTGGACAGGTATGTTTGGCATAGGTTTTCTACATCATTCTACATCTCAGTGTCTTGTGTCAGCAATTGGCCAACTTCGGCACTCCCGCAACGGGCAGTCTGCATAGTTTGGCAAGAGTGTGTTTACTTCAACACTGGAGTCACATGGAGAACGCGTTGAGACTTGAACAAGGCTGTTTGTTTTTAAATACATATGGGATGCACCTGGTATATGGCTGACTGAAATTGGACAGTATGATCATGTCCACAGTGTCAGGCCAGCTCTTTTGGAATATTGTTGATGGATGATATACGCAGCCAAGGCAGCCAAGTGTAAAAGCTAGGCACCTAAGGCTTTTTGGAAGTTAGGCAGCCAACATCCCATGCTAGACTGGTTCACCTCAAACAGAAGAGCCCTTGTCATGGCGAGGCCTATGGCGCCAACCAGAGTGAAGAACTGAATCCGGTTTATGTGCGCCGGGCGCTGGTGCTCTTGTGCATTTGCTGCTTATCTTGTTTAGCGAAGAAGAATATCGGAGACGGAGGCGAGGTTTTCACGGCTGGAGCCAAGGAGGATTGAGGAAGATGGGGGTATGTATGGAGAGTCAGGTGAGCAAGATGCAAACCAAACTCGTTGATTGAGGGAATTTGGTCAGGTCTCAAAAAGGCTGAAGAGCCCCTGGCTGAAGCTGATGGCGATTGCTGGTTAACAGCTTGAGACCTGTCTTGACTAAGGCTTCGTGTTCGCCTTTACCAGTGCAGTGCTTTGCGAACCCTTGCTACTGGCCTTGGGGCAACCTGCCGATGTGGCTTACACCAGTGCTCACTATGCGCAGGTGCAGAGCCTTGGTAGCAGGGAGTCATACCCAAACAACCTGTTACAACCTGCACATAAAGAGGAAAAAATCAACCAAAAACTATAACTACATTTGTGGTCGAGGCCAGCAAGTAATCAACAAATCAAGTTTTTTTGGAAAACACACATGCCCCGGAGTTTTCTCATTTATACAAGGGGGTCGCACTTACAACAGTGGTGCGGGATGAACCTTCAAAGAAGCTGAAGGAGACTTGAACATTTACTCTATTGGCTTTGCCATTGCATGTTTACCCGTGGTCGCATGCCTACATGTCATTTGTGACACTCAGCGTTCAAATCACAGCCAAGCAACGGGTGTTCACAGCGCACCTTCATGCAACCCGAGGGTGTCTCTGGTAGTTTTGTCAATATTGGGGGCGTAGCCCTTGGCAGGGACTGCGAAAACTTGGTTTCCCAACCTCAACCCTTCAGCATGGGCTTCCCAATCCATCCAAGAACGTGAAGACTCAGAACTGAGTGCGCGGCCGCCCCAAGGCTCCTGGGCGTGCCCTTCTATTGGCTAGCCAATGCGGCCACAGTGGCCCTGAACTCTGCAAAGTATACCATGCCCAGCCTCATCATGCAGCTTTGCCGTTTTATACCATGGAGGTTGGGAATGAACTCATGCGGAGTATTGGAGCGACAGTTTTTGCAGCTTGCAAATTCAAAGTTCCATGGAGTTGATTCCGACGGTTGAAGAAATCGAGGTTGGTACGAAACCAAGAATGCAATAGCCCAGTTACAAGTGGCATGTGTACTTCCCGGCCGTTCCGCCAACCGTTGTCGTGTACAGGATTAAGCCCCCTTTGACAGAACGTTTGAATTTGTTCGATAGTTCTGTGATCCCAGAATAATTGAATAGCGCCCTCAAAACAACTATGTTCAACTCACACTGGCTTGCATGCTCAGAATTTTCAATATAAATTGCATGTATATATAGTTACTTTACATGCGTTGTCGTGAATGCTACTCGCCTTTGTCCGGACTGGCAGCGATCGTAGTTGAAAACGTTGGATGAAGTATGGACCGGTGCTTCTCGTTATGTGAGGTACAGTATATGGAAAAAAAACATGTGGTTTGCTTTGATTGGGTATAAACACAAATAAATAAACATGAGGACACTCACCAAATCTGAATAGGCAACTTGCAAAAATAGTAACAATGTCCTGCAAATATTTTGTTTTACAATTCATCATGCCATTTTGTTTTGCCTTAGCCCAGGAATTTGATTAGCTCGCCGATGCAAGTTCTTCTTTGTTCCTCGGCCCAGCATGATGCGGTGTTGGAGCATATTGCATGCAAATGACCTTTAACATCCTCTAAACATGCATGCCGGACGTTCAGATGCGTGCTGGCGGATAGTCTGGCCCCCACGATGATCGTGGGCTTTCCGCCTCCCCAATCTTCACTGCACATCGGCTGAGGCTTCGTTTTCATGCATCCGCGTCTTCTGAATCTGGGCTATGCAGGTAATGCATTGGCCAGATCAGTAGGTGGGAAGGGATCGAATGCGCACGGAGTGATGTTTGGTGCGTGGGTCTGTGCATTTCAGAAGGACACCCCGGTCTATCACGGTGGATCCCTCTCCATGACCACTCCTTCTATAGATCCTTCTAGAATTATCTTAGGATATGACCTCATGACTCTTTCAGGTTTCAACTGAGCTTTGGGCTGTTGTGAGACGACTGGTTACCTCGATTCATGGAGAGCTGATTTGACTTTGCTGTGAGGGCTGAAGAGTGTGATATCATGTATATACTCATGTACTTCCAGGTGTACTTGTATGATCTTGAGTTTCTCCAAGAAAACTACCCGGAAGACTTGGAATATCTTGGAATCACCACACTTGTATCACTGTTCCTTCTCAGTTTGAACTCCAATGAACGGGACATCGCCACGCGCGTCCGGCGCCAGGCGGCGTGATTTCTTGCATGGTCCTCTTATCGGTGATCCGCTACCGCGGCCTCCAGTGCTACGTCTGGCGATGTCAGCCCAACTCGGAGCCGGTGATGAAGGCGGAGTGACGGTCGATCGGGGTTTTGATGAGGTTTTGGAGACCATTGGGGAGAAAAGCACGGTCTCCACAGAGAAATAGGATTGGTTGGTTTGGTGGGTGGTTTCACTCCAAGAGGACTGTTTAAAAGGTAGAGTTTTGACCCTAAGTGTGGAACCTGAGGGCTGATCCAAGCCAATCTTTGTATATATATATATATAATTCATGGGAGTGTAGGAGAATGGATATGTCGGATATGTGATATGAATAATCCATTTGCTTAGCATGTCGAAAAGCCAAAAAAGCAATCACCATGTTGTTTCGTGATGTTTGATGCTCCTCCATGCTGCCCCTCCATCCATTTGAACCCTCTACAGGGCGACCGCTACCGGCTCTGCTCGGCCGCTGCTACCGAGGCGCATGCGTTCCGCAGCTACCTGGCGGTCTCGGTGCCCGCGGCGCTGGTCGTGTGGTCCGAGTGGTGGGCCTTCGAGGCGGTTTCGGGCGGGTGTGGCGGTTTCGAGGGAGCTGAAGAGGTGGACCATGCCACCAGTAGAGCTCAATAGATTTGGACACCATCACTATATGTTGTATACAATATATAACTGGGACGTATATTTGGTTGTATGTTTCTGGGTTCGTTTCGATTGATAGAGTCTACAGATCATTGTCTTGCTTTCATTGTAAATTAAGTTTGTTTGTTTGTTTGTTGCAGAAGATGGGAGTTTTTTGTGGTCCCATCCCATGATACGATGGAATAGTTCTACCAATAAGGGGAGTACTGTATTATTCTTTCTTGATTTGGTTGTTCCATGAGTAAAAGAGCGTTCAGCACGGCCAACCAGCAAAATGTTTTCCCATTCTTGTGGTCTCACTTTCACAACGCTTTGGCAAAAGCACCGCATTTTGTTTTTTTGGTGGCTTGGTTTGTACAAGCGCCATGCATGCGACTACATGGGAGTCGTCCATCCGTTAATGCAAGTGAACAAATTGAGATGTCGGAGCTTTGCGAAACAACGTTTGCTGGATAACCTACATTGGATAAGCCACCCGCCTTCCTATAGTTCTGTGTGGCTTGCCATCCAATTGGCGATTCCTTGTTCAGCTACCATGGCACTTGGTCGGACGCCAGGTCCTCTCGCTGTTGGTGGGGCGGACGCCCAATGCTGAAATGAATCTTGCAGCTCATGGCACCATGTTTGCTGGCAGTATTGGCTGCGTGCGAGGGTTCGCTGGGGAAGTGGGAGGTCCCTACTAGCTGAACAGAGCTGGGAAGAAGTCTGATTTTACTTTGAAGTGTCAGTGTCCCTAAAGCACCGAATTAGCATAGTCATTGAACCAACATCCGAGCAAGCGTGCTCTTTGACCGCCCCGTATATACCCAGTGATGCAGCAGTGTTTTCAGCAGTGCTTTCTTTGCGACATGTGGCAACGCTTGACGAGGCTCAGGTGAGGCTATGGCTCTAGGTAGCAGTGCTTTGCGCCGATATATTGGAACACAGAATCATCCCCCTTATACACAATGCTGCCAACGTTTTCTTTGAGTCCCTGTCAGCAGCTTGGACTGGGAGGTTCATGGAAGGTGTTGATTGCAGGATATATGCATGTAGAGATATGTAGGTAGAGAGAACCAAGCTGTAAAGTACCCTTCTTAGGACCTTGGTCTAGTAAAGGCCTCATCCAATCCACTCAGCTTCCTATTGCTTCCCGCTCCGGGTGACTGTTGAGGTTCAACATCATTGTGGTCTTCTACATGTCCTGGACCAGTCCGCTGCTCAGCAGTTGCCGGTGCTTGGTTCAGCGTTGACACCAGAGCAGGCGGACGACCATCAACACCCCAAATCACCGCTTGCTATAAACATATTCCATGGTCATCCATGGTCAAGGTCCACGTTGCCGTGGCAGGCCATCATGCCGCATGCCTTATTTGTTCAGTTTCTGCTTCACCTCGTGGTTTGATCACATGTCTCCAGAGTGTTGGATGCATGGGTACTGACATGCGGTTGGCATCACATGCATTGCTCAGGTACTTGCATCGCTGTGTGCACGTTGGTTGGCAATGCATTGGGTGCAGAGGACCCGACCACGTCCACCGATGCGTTCGCACCGTCATTAGGAAATGGCAGGATTGCACGCTTGTAGGCCGGATATGGCCGGGATGCATTGAGTTCATGACTGTTGTACAGCAAGGCCTAGCTGCTTCGGCCACTTGCACCATTTTGCAGCACACCTACACTTAACTTTCTCCAGCTTGGTCAGCGGTCCCCAACCACTGGCGGTTCTGGGTTCCTGTGTGTAACATGGTGTAACCATGTGTAGCCACACCCGCTATGACCGTTTCGACCGCACCCGGCTCGATTGCGTAATGAGGAGAACTCTCGGATTCGGCCCTTGCTGTATACCTCGGGCCTGTTCAGCTTGGTTTCTCGGCTCAGCTCCAGAGTTCCAAGCAATGGACGGATGCCCTCAGAGCCTCCGCAGGGATGGAGCTGCTGCCTTCAACCACAACACAACAAAGAGGGCCGAGCCGGCCGAGCCAAGAAATAAACTAAACACATTCTGGTACTTGGAATAACCCTTCCTCCAACATCCTCCAACCTGTACCATGTCCTAGAGTTTCAGGCTTACCGCTTACCTGTTTTTGAGGGCGACAACAACATGGAGGGGCGGACTGTAGGGACCCGGACCGAGGCGACCTCCTTGCTGGTGGCTTTGGGCTATGAGCTCTTGAAGTCCAGCTTTGCTCGACTCTTTACCGAGGAGGGTGTCTGAAAGAACCGAATAGCTGAAGCATGGCTTCTCTCAAGGCTTCTCGAGCTAAATGGCTTTTTTTGCTGAAGGGTGTTGAAGTTCTTTTTAACTGACATCCACTGACTGTAAGATCAGGATTTGTCCTGCATTCTTGTTGCATTGTAGGCTTTCATTTGGGCTTGGTTCTGAAGAATGTTGTGAGAGGCGTGCTATTCTATAGCTAATGAACAGGCCTCTCAGTCGAGTTATGTATCATCCTTCCGCATCTCGTTGGAAAGCCCGTATCCTCTCTAGTGGATGTGGGTCTTGTTGTGCCACATGTTGTTTTCCCCCCCCGCAGGGGACTTTCAGGGCCTTTCAATCCACTAACCAGACCCATAAGTATATGAAGTCTTGTGTTTAAAAAGTGGAAGTGGAAGTTTCTGGAGGACTTGCAAGTTCAAGAATTGCTGGAAGACAGCTCCATGGGCCTCGTATTGAGCGTCCCCTGCCACTTGGAGAGAATCTCACTCGACCAGGGGACACTTTTTGGTTGAATCATGATACTCCCAACCTTGTGCAATTATTTGAGAGGTGGAGTCACTCTGCCAAAGAATTTTGGCCAAATAAAAAAGGACGCCTATTATTTGAGCTGGGTGGGTATGGGGTGGTCGCGAAATAATTATTGGCTTTCACTCAAACCACCCGAAATAATTTCCAACATCGCGAGTGGATGCAGTACTCAACTACTCAACCACCCAGTCAAATAGTTTATTGTATCGAATCATGGATTCTGATGCAAATTTGATGCTGGAGATGCGTTTCACTTGAAATCTGAGAATTATTTGGGAGATGGGTGAGTAGTGAATGACGATCACAAATTAAAATATAGTTTTTGGATAGCTTGGTGGTCAGATTCATTTATGTCCTGCCTTTTCTTGTTGAAAATGCAAGGGTTTCCAGGACATAGTTCATGTCATTTTTGCTGGTCCTTCACCACTCACCCACCCCCAAAATAACTATTTTGGTGGTGGGTGAATGGGAAATGGACCTGGAATTTCCTCAAACAGGAAGTTGACCACCAAACTACAAAATGTGGAACTAATAGATGTTGCTGTCCTGGTTCTCAATCAAAACAATGTTACTAAAGCCCCCCCAAAGTCAGGGGAATTCAGTGTTTAAAGGACCTGTGGTGTAACATGTAAGCATTATCCAGTAAATTAATTCCAAGAAGTTTTCTGGCCCTTGCCTGTGGTTCCAGGTGCTATTTCCCACTTACCCACCACCAAAATAACTATTTTGGGGGTGGGTGAGTGGTGAAGGACCAGCAAAAATGACATTAAATATATCCTGGACACCCTAGCATTTTCAACCAGAAAAGACAGGAGATGAATGAATTTTACTACAACTGTCTAAAACCCCTCATCCATTTTTGAAAGGTCATTAACTACTCACCCACCCACAAACTAGTTTTTGTGGTGTGGGTGAGTGGTAAATAGCACCTGGAAGCACAGGCCAGAATCAGAGAACTTTCTGGGAAATCCTCAATGTTAAACACACACGTCCTTTCAAACCCTGAAACTGGATAAAAAGGAATGACAGGAATGAAACTGACCACCAAATCTAGGAGAAAAAGTTTAGAAAAAGTAGCTAGTTGCTACACTTTTTCTTTAGCAAAAGACAAGTGGCCTGGAAGAGCCTTTTTTGAGCTTCAAAAGGTGAACCCAGGCCACTTGCTAAAGAACCCCAAAAGTGTAGAACAAGTAGCTAGCTAACCGAAAAATGATAAAAAGAAGAGAAGAAGAAGAAGTAACGTAGTAAACTAAACAAGAACAAACTGTTTAGTAAGGGGATGTACTTGGCATCCATTTGGGGGTCGTTTTGAGGATTCCTTTTCATTGGTATTTTACTTTACTTTTACTACGTACTAACTTTAAACCAATATATCCCTAGATCACCTTTGCCACCTCTTCACTGCTGATGGTCGTAAATTATTTGAGCCCACTTCACACTGTCAGGAATAATATTCTGAAGTTGGGGTCCACCCATATTTTGAGGTGGTGGGGCTCTGAGGTGGTCCATGGCTGGGTGTATGAATCATGAATGTAGGTAAGCTGGTCCGGGAAATTGCAAGCAGGTGGGCGCATTCTGGGCTGGGCATTTGGATGGCTAGTTTCATCTCTGTCCATTTTTGTTGTTATGTTACTAAATTTGTGTAGAACCAACAAATCAAATCCCCAGTGGAGTCTATGTTCCTACCGCACAAACAAATGACCTGCGAAGAACGGGCCGTGGATGACAGACAGATAGTAACTATAGACAACTACAATAAACGGGACCAACACCTCGCTCGCCTCTTTGCACCGCTTTGCGCCGTCTTTGGATCGAGGCTACGCCCAGCTGATGACCTTCTACGGTGTCTCGGCAGATGCTCCGACGTCGAAGGTCAAATGGTCAAGCACAATCGCATCCAGGGTGTTGAAGATCCCCAGCATCGTCCTGCTTGGCCGGCGTCGTCCTGTTGCACAAAATCCTAGTTTGCATTTAAGATCGTGCAAGCATGGTGGAGCTTTGTGACCCTCCTGTTGAAAGACCTACACGTGATGTATGCACATGGTACTTCCTTGTATGATTCTAGTTGACTTTAGCGCGCGAGAGACCCCGAGATATCAGGAGCTTTACGCGGTGCCAATTTTCAGAGGCTGGGCAGCTCAGGGCACTCGGGGGTTGTGAGGCACCAAGGGTGTTGTTTCGACGTCAAGGGTCGCAGTGACGACCATAGTGACCTGCCTGGGACGGGCGCCAGTGCCCCCCTGAGAATCGGCCTTGTTCCGCATAAGGATCAGGCGTGGCGTTTTTCGAGACTCTTTAAAAGGTGCAGAGTTCATTTGGTTTGCCATGCAAAACACCCATGTGTTGCATGTCCAATGCATCCGCAATCATGTTAACAGAAACATGTAAGCATAATATAACAGCAATGTGAGAAGACAGTGAAAGGTGTCATGGTCCTTGCGCTGTGTATGGAGCAACTCGTGCTCCACCGGCTCCAGCAGTGCGAGTGTATCTCATGATGGGCGAACTGTGCATCATGTTTGGTGTTCCGGAACCCTTCCCATCATCATCAATATCTTCCAAACCCAAAACATAAAGTGTTTGTATATTCTGTAATCTTCTGCAATGATTTCTTTCAATGGTGAACCCTTTCAGTGGGGATGACAACACACGACCAGACCTTACCTGTATGCGAGCATGGGGGATTTTCACCGGGTTTTCATCAGAGGCACCAGGGAGGTTCTTCCACGGAAACCCAGGCCTGGCATCCTTGGAACGCTGATTGGCTATTGGGTCCCTGAGCTCAGGATGTGAACGGAAGGAAAGCCGTTAGCTTCAACAAGACTATCATAGACGGAGATTCGCAAGATGTTATATAAAAAATTTAAGAAGCAATCCACAGGGAGGATTTTTTTTGTTTTTGAGGTTCAATTAGACCACACTGATGCAACATGTATGAATTTGCCTCTAGCTGTGAAGAGGTGGGTGTTGGGCATGTTTGGTCGATGTACTTTGGTAATCGCTTCAAGTCATCCCAATCAATGTCGTTAGATGTCGTTAGGATTCCCCAAGTGTAATTCGTAATCACCAAATATGAGCACTGCCTTTGATACACAGGGGGGTGAAGTCTGGAATGGTCTGCAGAGAGCCCTCTGTTAATGTTGCAACCTGTTGAAGTTAAAGCTACAAAACGGGGGGTTTACCCGCTGGCGTAGTAACAGGTGCCATGCTCCGCATTCAGTCATACGAGTCATGTCTGAGCCTCTTCCACTTCACTTTGCCTCAGCCTGAATGGCGGCCTCCAAGGTGGTTGGACTGCCATTGGGTGCCCTACTGGGCTGCTACTGGCACTGGCCTACTCCTTTGCTTGGAGTTTGGTTTGGGCGACTTGCCCTAAATGAATGGATTGGCTCACGATTCAGATCGAAGTCAGTCAACCAATTCGCTGAAGGAAGGACAATGATTTGACACAACGTGCACGATCCTTTCAACATGCCTTGTTTCTTGCGCAGACGGACATGCGGAGACTTCCTTGGATCTTTTGAATCTTTGATGCTTTCAGAAGTGTATGTCATTTTCTCCATTCCCAGGAATGCCACGGCTCTTGCAATAGCTGCGACGTGGGTCTTGTCCGCGGTGCCTGGTAGCCCAGAGGGTCTCAAGTTGATCGGAAGGCGAGTGTTGAGCGACATGCTAGCGCCTCCTTTCGCACTTTGGGTTGGTTTGCCACTGTCACAAGTGTGAGGGTAGCTTCATGTGCGCATGCTTTTTTGAGCATGTCAGGAAAATAATACACCTATTTGAATGTATGTTTGGGCATTTGAAGATATTGAGGACTGTCCCACCAACCAAGTCAATCCAAGTCATAGGTGCTTGGGATGAACTCTACTCAGAGGGACACACCAGGCTTTTCCTACTTGGAAGGCTTTTGCAGCTCTCTGATGCATTTCCCCATGGTCTGCCAGCTTTCATGTTCTCTTTGAAGGCTCCGATTTTCCCAGAAGGTCAGATTGGCTTCTTGCTTTGGGGTGTCATGAATTGAATGCTAATACCCCGATCCAATCGCTGGGGGGTGCTGGCCATCATTCTTCAGATGATCACTCACTCACCAATCTCCTCGACCCTCAAAGATGCCTGCGGCTTTGCGCCAGGTTTTTCCGCATCGATTGGAACACAGTGAGGCGCGTGGAACGCGCGCCTCTATTATTGGAGAGGCGAGGGGAGGGGGGGAAGTGTGGACACTGTGAGGAGTTCATCGCAGCCAAGATACCCTCTTTCCTTTCTCATGTCAAAATGTTGGGAAGATGACGAAGCAGAACTAACCCATAAATGATGTTTAATCAAATGGAGAACCGTTGGATCGAACCTAAACACTTTCTTTGTTCCCACACAAACTCGTCAGTTCCGCGTGAAAGCAAGACTTGCTGGTTTTTTTCCAGCTTGCCCTGGATGGCTCTCCAACTGCCAACTAACCAATGGGATTGGTGCAAGGTCGAGTCCACGCCTCCACCGGAAAGACAGTTCAGTCCATGCCGTCCACTCTCAGCCTTCACTCCTGCGTGAGGAGAGCAGAAATGCCGGAAGTCGACCGCAAGGATCGAGTGTCGGGCAGCGCTTCAACTGGGATAAAAGAGCCTGGAAGCAACACAATGAGGGGTTGTTTGATTGAACTGCACAGAGTGATGTCGAGGCGCCTGAGGCACCCCACATTGTACTTTGGAAGGTGTTCTAACCTGAGAGATACCCCCAATTGAGATTGACATCAACAATTCGTTGGCCTGCAAGCTGGAGACTTATATAAATTTGCCAAGAGAACAGGCAAGGTCAGCAGAATGCCACTGCTGAGTCATGGAGTCATGCTGATAGATTTGCGGCAAGAGAGAAAGAATTTGGATTCTTGTCAGAACAGCAAGGACAAGAAGGATAATGCAACAATCAGTGAAATATGTACACATGCAACATATTCGAGCAAGTAAAACATGAATTCCAAGACCATAGCGATGACCTCTAGGCGCGTCAAGGAGAAGAATCCTAAGTGCCCTTCCGCGGTGTGCGGACAGCCCAGACCACGGATGGACGAGATGGGGTCCCAAAAGGGCTTGAGTTGGAGTCGAAGTGCAGAATTGAGGCTTAGAGGGAACATCTTGTGGACATGTATGGACAAGTCCATTGTTTATTGTACTCGCTGGTATGGTCTAATATACTGAAACCCCTGGTTTGCATCCATGGATGTCCTGATGCCATATTCAAAAAGTATCCATGTGATCCAGTCGGCTCCATGCCACAGCCACACATAAAAGTTTCAGAGTCAAACCTACAGCTATAGTTCACCTTGGTTGCCTACAATCATCATGGACAATCGACCCACTGTGGAGGATCGCCCAGTGGAAGTTGAGAATGGTTCCGTGGCTCCCGGAGGGTTGGGCACGGCTGGGCTCGTTCATCCAAATGAGTTTGTGTATATACAAAAGCTACATATACTTCAAACCACGTTCATCCTAGAAGTAAACCTAGATGTGTTTACAGGTTTCTTGTAGGGGCAAGTGGATGCTCAAAGCTTGGGTGGTTGGCAGTGTCGCCTTGCTTTGGCGGTCGTGATAATGCACTCCAGGTCATCAGCTTGGAAGCCTAGTGACTGAAAGCTGAACAGTGGAATCCATGTTTGCCTTTTGAAGCCCTGGAGAATGAATCCGGGGCTTTTCAACATGCACGAATCAATATGGCATAATGATCCACTGAAATTCAACTCCACCAGCCCAGCCAACGACTCAGCAGAACCGATGCAGGATTCCATTTCTTCGAATTCACAAGACGCATCTTTCCTGTGGTCCAAGACCCTGATTTTCCTCGCGCGTTCGGATGCTCTGACGCTCTCGGACGCGGATCTAGATCTTCCGGTCCTCAGAGGGCCGGGATCCGATCACAAGAATCTGGGATCCGGCGAAGTCGCTGGTCATATTCTTTAGGGCAAGGCCTCACTCAAGGAGGTTCACCAATAAATATGACTAAATATGTCTCATGTGCAGAAGGATATGGATATGCTGTGCTCCATTTGATCAGGCTTTTGATTTGGATGAAGTGGAAGTATGACTGATATCACTGAAACTATAGTTCATAAGAGCTTGTTGGTGTTGAAGCCATACAGAGCCTTGAAATGAGTCGCTTGACAACGACTTTGCTTATGTCGCATCTTGGGCTGCTGTAAGACAGGATCCTCTATATAGATGGGATTCCTGCAGCTTCATCGCAACTGGCAGGTGCAGCAAGCCGTCCGTCGTTGATACGCAAAACATGAATTTTCATTAACTTACAGATTCACTTACCGGTTCTATGGAAATGAGCGTGTGAAATAAAATGAATATCTTCAGCCATCACACAGAAACTTCTTGGGAATACCGACTCGCAGCACAAGGGATCACATCTATTCCATCAGACCAGTGACTTTGTGCCGTACCCCAGCCAGTGCCACCAATTCAACCCGCTCAGGTTGATGGCGCAGCGCGCCCACTTCGATCGATCGGAAACCGTGCCCTGGGGCATTGTTGAAGCCTGTCGATTGGCTGGCCTTTGAAGGGCGGCAAGGATGATGTGTGGGTGGTGCAAAGATCATGGAAATTGAATCTTTTGAATTATGCAGGGCATCATAGTACATCAAGATAGTACATCACTTTAATTCATTATAGAAAATTATATATACTATGTGTATTTGGTGTTTATCGCAAGGCTGCTGTCATTTGGCGTATCTTTTCATATGTTCTTTCTTATAGTTCTCTTTGTCTTAAACAGAGCAATCCAGAAGGAGTTGGCTCGAGAGAATGGCAGCTGCGGCCATGGCTCCCTCCGAAAGGCCACCGACCCTCCTACATGTTCCTCATACGTTCTGGTGCACAGCGCTAGATATGTGCTTTCCAGGGACATGGTTGCGTCTTGCTTCTTGCTCACGAAAGCTTGAAGAGGTGGTCAGGGGTTGGCTGAAGAATTCAGACTCCTTGACGTTCCAGTCTGGAGACTGGGTTGTCATTGGAGAGCTGAAGGCGCTTAAGTTTGCAGAGTACAACGGCAAGTTGGGGCAAGTGATTCGACCTTTACCTTCCAAGCCATCGCGATATGAGGTTCAAATCCATGGGTTGCGGCACCTAGAGACGATGCCTTTGGGTGTTTGTGACGTTAGGGTGAGAGAGACATCCCTCTCAAAACTCAACCTTCGTAGAGTCCAGGCAAGAACATTGGCTTTGCGTGTTTTTGCAGACGGCGAGGTGGGTCACCTACCTCCAAATGCCGTGACATTACACCCGGAAAGTTGGCACACGGATTTTTGTGGTGATGTGGCACCAGTAGTGGCACCAGTAATGGTTCCAGAGGAGCTTTTATATGTTGACGATGACCCGCGTGGTCAGTGCCCCTTCATGGCAGAGTTGGGGAGGCCCTTGTGTGTGTGTCGCTGTGTCACCGTTTGCAACTTGGAGGCTTCTATTCTGAGTCTGGACAGGGACTGTAACCTCTCAAGTATTCTTCGAATGACCAGCCGCCATCGTGATGGCCACTTTCAGAAATTTGGTTGGGCACAAGGGGCAGGACCATCATTGGTGTGCTGGCGGCCCTGGCGTGATCATGATCATACCAGCTTCACAATTTATGATTTTGGAAGGGTCTGGTACGTCTGCCTCAAGATCTGGAGTCAGTTTATTGAGGCAGATCAAACCGTGACAGAGCAACAGCTGCATGATCTGTGGGAAAAAATCCGCGGAGTTTGCTGCAGGGCTTGGCTTTCCTGCAGCCTCAGAAGCCATCGACAACATCCAGGAGGTTCACCACCAAGAGCCTGCAAAGACCATCGATGAGTCCTTCAGTTCTGAGTGCACGGATGCTTTGTGGGTCTCATCACTGCAGGCGCAGCCAATGCCCTCTTCAAGTGAACTAGCAGTTCTGTTGACGTTCAATCGGCATCCTGCCAGCATGGACGCAGCCTTGAAGAGGAGCGACTTGGGAAGGCGCTTGGCAGCCTCTCAGCATGAGATTCAGCCTCCATGGGCGAATGGAGCCAAAATCATGGTCATGGGTCTCGACGAAGCGGTCTGGCATAGAGCCATTAGAGAGGCCGACTTGCCGCAGAGCTTGCTGCAATTGAAAGCATATCATGTAGTTGCCCCAGCCAACAAGGTGGACGACATCCTCGGGATTGTGGCTGAGATCCCTGGCTCCTCACGGCCTCGCTTGAAGGCAGGCTCCGAGCCTGTATCGGTGCCAAACCCTGAGGTCGACGCTTCCAAATTCCAGGTGTCGGAGCCAGTTCCTCCTCGTTGCCGATCATCTATGACTCTGCATCAACTACGACTCTGCATTCGGCTGGCAGTGACCACATCAACTACGACTCTGCATGGCTCCAGGGAGTGCGTGAGAAGGCCCTCTACCTGCCGATTCCCCACCTGAACGAGACACGCACCTTTCTCCATGAGGTCGGGAAACAGGGACAATCAGAGCAGGTGGCATCATTGAAGCCATGCACACCCAAGAACAGTGCAACCACGTGCAACCCAGATTGAGTCCAGAAAAAACGCATTGCTTGAAGAACCAAGACATCAATCAAGGACAAACATTGCACTACTCGGTATTGTTGTAGCATTCCTATGCATTCCTTGTATATTCCAAAATCGGAGCCCATGCACCATGAAGACACCTTTCTGTCGGAAGTGCAAAGCATCGCACACCTTTTAGGTTCAATAGAATCTCAATATGATGTTCAGGCTATTCAATGCTATTCATATACATTTACTCCCTGAGGCTGAAGAACCTATGATCACCCCAAGGAGCAGAGCTACAGCAAGCGACAGCCAGCTGCCGGTGAATCCACGCGTGTGGCGCCAGATCTAGGAGCGTGAAGCATGTTCTACCCTTTGTGCAGGGCAGTTTTGGGCTGTGTTGCCTTCTGATGTGTTGAGCTTCCAAGTTTGTTTTGTCTCTCCCTTTTTTTCCCCACTGTGTGGGCAGGAGTGTGTATACAACATGACACTGCTCGCTTGAAACAACAGAAGCACATCAGGAGGCAAGCTGATGAACACTGACACGTTTAACAGTGTTTGAGTCTGCGCCGAAACTCGAGGCTTCTTCTTTGGTTGAAACAACATACAGTCTTTTTTTAGATGTTTTAAGGCCTTTTGGTATTGCCACAGACTCATTTGTACAGATGCTTTTCACTTGCTCGGGATCGCGAGGGCAGGCATGGAACGGTGGTTTTTGCCACTTGCGTGCGCCTGGCAACCTGGGCTGTATAGACAGGCCAACCAGAGGTGCTGCAGGCATGGAAGGGTGGCCGCAGGGCCGCTTGCGTGCAGACGACCTCAATTGGGCACAAAGCCAACCGTGCAAATCATCACCGCTGCCTGGGTTATGTCACCACTGACCCCAAGCCTGGCCTTGTTTGGCCACACACACATGCACCAGAAGGGAAGTGGATGACAAAGCGTTTAAACGCCAACTGCCCCACTGCCTCTCTTCAATTTGAAGCCATTTGGTGCAGCCTGCAAACCACTTGGACCTGACACACTCAAAGTACCTCAGAGTTTTAGTTGATTTTAGTTGTTTCATTTGTTCTTTTGCAACCTAAGAAAATAGGAAGATGGCATGTACTAAAGGGTTCTGGCAAGCGATGTAGGATACTATGAATTTTCAGCTGCCGTGACTTGCATATCCACATCTCACCAGATGGCCAGGATCAGATGTGCGCTGAGCTGAAGGGTGTGAGGGTTTTCCGGACGACCTGGAGCTTGGGCTGCGAGATGTTATATCAAAAGTTGGTGCAACAGTTACAATTTAAAGGGACATGTGAGAGAGCATTGTCCATTTTCAACGTGCTTCATAAACGCGAAAGCTAAACGTCCGGAAAACTTATCGAACTTCTCATTCGTCGCTGAACGATCCAAAACTCAAACTTTGCCACTGAAGGGATCCTTCTGATCCTTCTGTACTTGTTGGAGGTCAAAGAACTGCTCAGGGTTTATGAACCTACAGTTTGACAGTCCCTTCAACCAGGTATATACTGGAGATCTGAGAGTTTAGAGGTAAATCAAGTCACTACTAGTTTTTGACCATCCAACGTCAATGGTGCTGGCAAATTTGGGGCATGTGTCAAGGAGACTCAAGTTTCACTTGCCGCCAATGGGTGGTGCGAATCTCCAGATAGAGCGGAACGACGCAATGAAGTTCCTGAAAATTTGCCTTTCCTGAAAGGAGATTCTGTAAACAACTACGTCGGTGTGTTTGAAAGACTTGGGGGGGAGCCCACTTCAACATACTTCAACCATTTGGTAGGCAAGGAGTAGGTGTCACTTTGATGGATTTCCTCCTATTTCAATCATTTTCAATATCTCTATATATATATATATGTCAATGTAGGTTTGTGACATTTAGTCCCTGCTCCGATCCCATAATTCCTTTACATGCTTCCATGGACTTGCAGCTATTCAAGATGCAACACAACAGACCAGGAGGCAATCCCAAACAACCAACCGCAACTCATGAATACTATACTTACAGAAGAGAAACGGTTTCAATTTCCAATACGGTTTCAAAAGAGGATTTACTTTTCTATGTGTCTTGGGATCTGCATCACTAGACCGAGGTGTCGCGAGCAAGACAGCGCCCGTCCTTGCGTGATAGAATTCACGTACACGACGTACATGTCACCATGTTGACCGTTGAGATGGGCAATGCTCTCCATTGCATATGAATATACATTGGGATTGCTACATATGGGGTCCAGAGGTTGCAGGACTTTTTTTGGCATCCTGAGATGCGCAGAGATGGCTTGGTTGCATTGACGTCAACATGGCTCAAGGCAGTCCCGAACCGTGCGGGGCTGTGCGTTACCCGGTAGCGTAGGCTGGTCGCGCGTCGTAGCCTCGTGGCGCGGAGGCCTGGGTTCCACATGCTCTTTCGTCATGGGGAAAGAGAGGTACCCATACAGACACGAATTATATACTGACTGTATGAATTTAATAATGAAAACAGACGTCTTGATGCTGGCCATTGTACAACAGGATTTCCACGAAACATATTTGTGGTGCGCGGCTGAGCGGAGACTCTGAACAGATTTGAACAGCCCCCCCAACCAGCACAGAAACGTGGCAAAGTTATATGTTTGTTTTCGCGTAAATCTCCCTTGCAGGGGGATTGTGGGTCCCAGGCTCCTTGAGGATTCAAAGAAACCGGTTGAGCAACCGGCGTTTCGCTCATGCCAGGCTCGAGAGCCATGTTTTCATCGTTGAGCCCTTTGAGCTCCTGTTGCTGCTGTGGTGTCTGCACAGGCGCAAGTGGTGAAAGAGATGTGGCCTCCTTCGTTTGGTCACATGTGAAGGATGTTCTTGAATCATTGGAAAACCAATTGAACAGCCAAAACATATCAAAACATGATCCTTTTTAGGGGAAGCACGCTTTACACTTTTTATAACCAAAAAACAGAACCTTAATACATATTATTAGCATCATGGAACTAAATAACAAGTATTAACCAATACTATCCAATATCGATCCATCAATATCTCATTACTCATTACTCTAAACAATTTTCTTGCCATAGCACTGACTGGTGAATCAACGTTTTCTTTTTTGGGACTTCTTTTCGTGTTGACTGTCGTGGAGGTACGAGCTTTGTTGCCATCATCCACTTTCTGGCATGTGTGGTGCGCTGGCTTTGAAATCGTCCGCTGGGTGCGAGTCCGCTGGGTGCGAGATTGGCATCTACAGACGTTCTTTAACGCCTCGGCTTTTGGGGTTGCTGGAGCTGCTTAGAGCCTCATAGGTCCAGTAGACGTGGACCAACCAAGTTCTAGAGCGAGTAGGTTTACTCCCAAGTTTGTATCTCCTTGAGGTGAGCTGAACAGCTGCCTTTACGTCATGGTGGTAACACCACTACTATATAGTAGATTTTGGAACCAACCAACTATGGAATTTGTGCGTCACATGTTGTCCTGGTATGGGGTATAGGGATAAACTAATCTCAATGTCGCACTCATAATCCACGTTTACTACACGTTGTCAAGGATCCTGGAACCTTTTTCTTGCTGAGCAGCATCATATTCCATACTCACTTCAATGCAGATGAATCTTATTTTGTCTCCAGGTATCAGAGCGGCGAGCGGACATCCATCGTGTTGTTTCTGCATTTCTTTCACCTTGTGACAAACGTGTTTTTTTTTTCACACCGTTGCTTCAGTAACAGTAGCATGGTATGCCAAGCGAGGTCATGTCATAACCATAAAGCGAGGTGACATGTGACATAGTTATATAACACATAGAGCCACCACTGTTGTCATTTGAGGCCGTTGTGGTGAACTCGATCCTTCACTTCATCTTCCACATGGACTGACGGGGGCAAATTCCGACCGACCGTGCCCCGGTTGACAAACGAGACAGAATCGAGTGACTGGCTCAGCTGCAGCTGACAACGAAGTGAGTGCTGCTGTGCAGGAGACCTATGGAAGTGTTTGGAGTCCAGAGGGCCTCCTGCCAGCCGCAGCACGTTTTGTTTGGTCCGTGACAATCACAGTCTTTGTGGAATTCACAAGAAATTCTTTGTGTGATCTATCGGATAGAGATAGACAACATCGTTGTAAATCTTAGGAATCTTGATATTGGTTTGTTGCGCAGGATCTTCTCAAGCAAGAAATAGCTGCAACGGTGCTAGGAGTTGGACCCAGACAGACATCGAACAGCTGGATCCAAAGCTTTTTGCCCTGTTTTTTCCAGATCAACACCGACATGAGAAGAACATCTGGGCTGGGCAGCATGTGTGCGCCGTCCGCCAGGCTCGTGACGATGTTCGCCTTGATGGGTGTCCCCGTGACCTTCGCCGCCATGCTCGGCCGGGGAGCTCGGACTTGGACCGAGTCCACCGGTGGGTCCGTTTGGGAAGAACCGGACACCGCGGCGGGTCGTGGGTCTCCAATAAGGTCTCTGGGGCGTGTGGGTCTCCAAACCTCAGTGTGACCAGAAAGTGTGCCAGTTGAGATAGGCCTATGGAATGCTGTAGAGGATCCAGGTTACCTGGTTTGGGACAACATAATTGTAGTTCCTTTCCTTTTCTGAAGTACGTGTATTAACATCTCAATAGTAAACCCCCCTATGAAGATTCAACATTTTTGTCTCGGGGTAGTCAAAACTCTCAGCCTCAATAGAAAACCTCCAGGCCATCTGGCAGAGGGGATTTGGGAGAGGGTCTTTCATTCCACAAAAGATTCCACAAAAGAATAAAAAGAAAGAAGATAGGAGAACTTAAAAGTAAAAGGGAAAGCACAAGGCAAGGATAAGCCAGCAGGGCTGGAGGGGGGATTGATTATTGTAGGTTGGTTTACAATTGCAGGGGGTGGGAGTCTAAAGGGGTACCCTTTGAAGATAATTGTTTGTATTTATTTGATAGGGTGTGAATAAGGAAACCTAAAGCTTTTGGCTACCCACAGTTTTTGGAAATCTGATCGGCAAAGATTCAAAAAAAACAAAATACAAAATAAAAAAGACAGAAGAATAAGATAGAGAACGCATTCTGAAAGCATTTTTGGGTCTGGATGTTGGCGCAATTAAAAGTAGTATTGCAAAATCCTGACAGGCCAAAAAGCTTATTATTATTGTCTCATGGTTCATCACTGGGATGTTAACATTACTTCGGGTTGTGGAGCAGCTGCCGCTTCCATTGCAGTTGTTTTCTGATGGTATTTTGCCATCTCAGTTTTCGTGGTTGCTCTTCTTGGGATAGGTAAGATCGATCCAAGTGAAATGACAAGCGTGCAGCGCGCACTTGTTTTTTTACGTCACACGTACAGATCGCACAGTTCGTAGCAATTTGGGACTTGCCAGGTGCTTGGCTGAAGTTGGAGAGTTACGTTCGTGCCTACTTGATCTACTTCTTGGCCTCTTTTGTGGTACGCCGGGGGGTTTTGGTGACCTCGACGTGAAACTGACGGCGACCTGCCTCAGTCAGGGGGTTGCTCAACCAACATCAAGCATGGTGTCGTCTCAGTTTTCGTTGGATACAATCCTGCAAACTACTGTAAAGTTTGCGTTCTTGTCTAATGCACCAATCAAGACGCAAAACATTTGCCTTGAAAGAAATTAAACAGACCCTCCAAACAATTTAAGCTCCAGAAAAGGTAATCTGAGTTTATCAATATCTCATCTCCCTGCAATGGACCGCGGAGAAGTGGAACTGCGCATGAAGAATCGATTCTGTTCAAAGGCTGGCGTGTCAGAGCGCATACATTACACAAGAAAGCATTGTACGCGACAGACTTAGCACCAGTAACTCAGACGCTGAGCAATTGACGCAGCTGATTGAGAGGTCCAGACCCAGCTGTAATTCTTGTTCCTTCTGTTGATTGGCATGGAGTCAGCATGAGTCACCGAGAAGTTCTGCAGTGTTCCTGGAAGTTTGATGTTTTTGTACATGGCTGGGGAGTTTCCAACTTCATAAGTCAACTGATTTCACGGTATGTGAAGATGGATCTTTTGCAGCAATCTGAGAACAGCATGTCGTTTGTTGTTGCTTCTTTGCAGTGCACGGCCACAGTTCTGCGCCATGGTACCTGATAGGGGAAATGGAAGAAGAGGAGCCTGGGATTGGTATGGGTTGCCAAGGCTGCAATAAGAGCCTCGTCCTAGGCACATAAGCCCACAAACTTGTGAATGTTTGCAGATCCTCATGAATCTAAATTCATCTAAGTTCTAAATCAACAATACTCGCGAGTATCATTTGCAACTATTCATACATTCTTCTGACTCCGATTCTTTCTGAAAGACATTGACCAATGGCTCCTGATCACACGGCGATATAGCACATCACAGCACCACAATTTGTACTTCGACAATGCGAGGCTTCACCCAGTGTATTTACAACTTTGCAGTTGTCATTTTTATTTGCAGCCCCGATGGGTAGGCAACCGAAAGTTGGATTGGTTTTGCTCAGGAATGGGGACTTTAGCTATCTAGTGTTGGTAAAGCCTGGTGTTGGTTCCTCTCAAACATTCTGTTCCAAACAGTACTTCGAGGTAGACAGAGCTGGAGGCCAAAGAACCTAAGTAAGCCGGCAGCCAATGATGTCACCAACCTACCCGATGCCATCACATCAAGATCTCTCCGTGTTGCTGGAAGGAAGATGGATTTTGATCAATTCAGGACACGCATCGTACTCAACTCTTTCAAGCTTGTGCTGCAGCTCGTGCTGCCCAACTCCCGCCCGGTTCACCAGGGTGAAGTTCACAGCCACTGGGTCAGTCAGCTTGGCGCTATGCCCTGCAGGAGCTCACCCAGCTGCACCGCTTGCTCCGCTGTGCCCGACGCTGCGTGGGCCCCTGTGGCCGCGTGCGGCTGCAGCACGCAGCGGAGGGCGTCCGGCATGCGCCCGTCGTGGTCACCAGCAGCTGTGCACAGGCAGACGACCCGGGGGTCGGGCAAAACCGGTGCAACCGTGGCCTGTGGGATTGAGCAAACTAAAGAGACCAACCAGGCGACAGGCAGATTGGATGGACCGCATTGTTTTTTTTTTTTAGCATGAAGGAACATGGCAGATGGGTTGACCGCATCAAAGCACTTGGAATGAGGTGCTGAAGTTCTGGGCAGTTCAACCACAGCACCACATCCTGAAGTTGATCGTGGACTCTGCGCAGGACGTGTTGTGATGGATCGACTACAGATGCCAAGGTGGCTTTAACACCATTCATATCTCTTGCTGTGACATCTCGGGTCCTTGTGATTGATCGTTTAGCAAAAGAGGCTAAGGCCTTGGCGGCCTTGGGGTTCTTCGGTTCACGGCCTGAAGAACTGAGAAGACTGGAAGAACCGAGAAGTGCTGCAGTGTCTCAAGTTTGTCTCACCAAGTTTGTGGTCCGTGCTGCTCTTCAGGAACACCTCAAGTCCTCCACCGATGGCGGGTGGATCTTTCTGCAACTGACCTTGGGCCTTTTCTTCGCGTTGCGAGGAGCGCTGGGCCACGCAGTCACTGTTTCGCTGGGCAACCACGGTTGGTGGTCGAAACAAGTGATTGGGGAGCAAATCCAACTAGGAGCAATTAGCATGTGTTCATCAATGTCCATTAGTTCCATTAGTATATAACTCTCTCATCATTTCAGGCCTTCCAGAATCTTCTAATTTCTGTTATCCTCTCAACCATCACTATCAATTTCGAGCTTCACTTTTCTCCCTCAGCCCTTTGCAGGTTTAAACACTTCGGAACCTTGCACCTAAAAGCTCAGGCTTTACCGTTAGGTATTTGCTCGCGTTTCTGATGTCTTGGTGCTGTTTCCCGGTAGTGCAGGACGTCGGCCGTGGGCACTGCAAGGTCTGGCGATGTGCGCAGAGCGTTTGGACGGCACGCTGCCAAGTTGCCGCCCTTTGAAGCAATTCTGGGAGAAGATCTGGTCTTGAGTCTAGTTTGGGACAGTGACTCAGGCTATGGGCATGGTAGTGGGGATGGTATATTTCTTATCATTTGTATACAACTCATTCTTCAGAGTATTTTACTTTGGTTTCTGGGTTTGGTGAAATCGGAAGTGGGGAAATGTTGATGGCCACTTGGATTGGGTCTCTTGAATCCTCGGGTGGTGCAAAGGTTTGATTCATGCTAAGGTCCGTAATTCTCCGGAGACCCCAGAAATCAGAAGCAAATGGATCTAACAGGAGTTGGTGTGGTCCCTGCAGGCTAGGAGAGTAGGCCTATCCCATGAATATTAGGACTTACAAAGATGTGGCGCACAAAGCGGGCCTCTCCGGTACCACCAAGACAAGCTGCAGCATGCTAGCATGCTGCAGCTGAATGAGTTCTCCTACCTTGAGAGAAAACTAAGCAGTATCTCTGTAGAAGTTGGATGAAGTTGGAACAAGTCGAATTCACCGCACTTCCCTCTAGCTTTCGGGTCAAAACACCTCACATATCGCCCGGACGTCCCCACCGGCCGAACGTCTCTCGAGGCGTCGGCTTCGAACTGCGCCTGGCGCATGTCCTGGCGTTGCTCCGCTCCGCTGCTCGGCGTTCTCCGCTGTCCGTGGCTGGATAGACCGGTGAGCTATCCACAAGATGCCCCTGGAACAAGGGAGCTGTTTGGAGGGGAAATGTTCAATGACCAGCCAGACTATATAGTGTCTGGTCGGTTTTCTTCAGCACCACCCATTTGAGTTGTGTTTTTCTTGTGTGAAATCCGAAATGTGGAGGTTTGGTCTTAGCTGCGACTTTCTAGGACAGGTTGTCCTTGTTGCTGCAGAAAGTAACATAGAAGAGTGCACGGAGATAGACTTCTTGTTAAGCTTCTTGGTTCCCAGAGGAACCAGTGACCCAGTTGCTTTGGGTTTGCAACGATGTATCCCGAAAAGGCGGGGAGGCCGGACACGTCCACCCGCGTGGTGGCCCCGGACGCACCCAGAACTCTACCGTCGACCCACCGAGGCCTTATGCAAACCGGTGGCGCTGGCCGATCCGAAGGATGTTCAGCACCTCGGCGGAGATGCGGACGTCCAGACTAGCAGACTGGAGTGTGGAGTCAGCGGTGAATGAGCATGGTTATGAGATGTGATGAGAATGAGAAGAGTGCTGAATGATGTTTAAATGTGACGAGTTATAAGATCAGTCTGACGTACTGGTGTTGTGTCCAACACCGTTGTGGGAGGAGCAACCCGAAAGTTTAAGGGTTGAAACGTGATTGAACACCTACGGTTACGCCATTAAAATATGTGGAGGGCGGCCCAGGGCTCATCCTCCCGGAGGTAGTGTATAATTCCTATATTGTCCGTATGTTTGAGGGCGGCGGGCGGCTCCGCATTTTTAAATGTGCAGTTCCTTCATCATTCTATACATAGCAGGATTCCCGGGCCTTATGTGGGGGGTCTTGGCTGGCCTCACGTCATGGGGTAAGGCCTCCACGTAGGACCGGCTAAGGCCTCCACGTAGGACCGGTGAAGGCCTCCACGTGGGACGTGGGACCGGCCAGGCCTCCACGTAGGACCGGTGAAGGCCTCCACGTGGGACCGGTGAGGCTTCCACGTAGGACCGGTGAAGGCCTCCACGTGGGACCGGTGAAGGCCTCCACGTGGGACCGGCCAAGGCCTCCACGTGGGACCGGCCAAGGCCTCCGTGTAGGACCGGCCAAAATGATTTTCCAGGCAGGAAAGATCCCAAACTCTTCAACTTTACCGGCCCAAAGTTCTTTGGTCTTTCGCTGAGAAGTTTCACGAGAACAAAACTGTTTGTATACTGGTTATGGCATCACCCAAATTCTGCATAAGAGGACCTTGACCAAGAAAGCAGCTGGTGCAGTTTGATGATACCACGAGTAGCAACCCTCAATAATTGAGTGGTAGTTGGTAGTGTCAAACATTGATGTGCAACCTTTACCAGTTGACATGTTTGCTACATAGCAACGCTTCTTTTTTTCGGGCTCACGGTCCCGCATGGCCAAGTGAGGCACCTTTCCGTGGTGATTCTGGAGGCCTTTCTTCATACGGTGCCCGGAGGCTCAGCAGGGCCAGCAGGGCTGTTCGGTGGGCAGATGTAGAAACAAACGAAGCCTTCAGACGCAGTTTGCAAAGAACATGCAAAGAACCTATTGTCTCGTGCTCCGTCTCTTTGCCCTTGACATGGACATGATACAAACCCAACTTGTTTGCGTCAAATTTGTCGGTCGTGCTAACATTGCGTTTGTCTTCATCATTAACAACAAAAGCCACGACGTTACGTAGCATTGAGTAGCCTCAAGCTTATATTGTTACGCATGAATGTTATTGGCAATGTTCTTGTTTGACATATGTTAGATAGTATTAAGTATATATAAGTATCTTAACAAAGAACTGGAAACTATAATAGGTGTATTATCATTATAGTTGCCCACATTTATAACTGTTTGAAATTGTGCTGTGTACACCTGTTTGAGTAGCAGGTGTATTACTTTACAACAGGGTGTTTCAAATTTGTGATAGTGTCCTTTTTGAGAATGTATCATCATTAGACATATAAGTCTATCAAAATTCCCTTTCAGCTCATCCAGAGATGTTCATTTCTCAACGACTTTCCAAGGCCAGAGATGGATCAGGGAAGGCCATGGTCAGACGTACTGCGCTTCGAATGGTTCTGCGGACATGATGTTGACACTCGGAAATGTTACTTGGAAGGAGTGTTCCACAAGACTGTGGCATGTCACGGAATTTCATCCAAACTACTGGTTAGAATATATCATAACTATGACATGTCAGGATTATCCATGACCTGATTTCTTCTCTGGGGATCCGCATACGCAATGTGAGGAACTTCTTCATGCATGGCTGACTCCGCCATTGTGAAAGAGTAGCACGTCCGGCATACAATAGAACTTCAAGTGCTATACAGTATACCAAGAGGCAGAGGTCCTTCTTTTAAAGGTCCATGGACTTCAAGGGGTATACAATTCCATACAGTAGGTATCATAGGTATCGTTTGTGCCATTGTGCTGTTCACCAACATTTTTTTGGGATCGGCCTCTTTCAAAATCAGTTTTGATCTTCCCTGCCATGAAGTACATGGTGATCATTTGAGGATTGGAGCTGGAAGCATCATGGCTTGGTCCTTGCTACTTGGCGCGGTCAAGTATGTCCATGTTCTTCCAATGTTTGCCCCACATTGGGATCACGTGAAGCTGTGAACCCGAGAACCAAATCATGAATATCAACAAATCTTTCGGTCGGAGTCTTTGGAAAAACGGCAGGCGGGGCACAGGGTTTTGGACACTTTGACGTGACATCTGGTTGGACTCTTTGGTTCCTCTTGTCAAATATAGCAGATGTCTTTGAGACACCTGTGTTATACCAAGAGGTCCAGTTTCAGGGTCCATGTGACTGACAGATGTTCAACTGTTCAATCCCCGTGATTTCTGCATGTGCCATGTGCCATGGAACTCAACCAGTGCCGGTCACAGCCGGACAGAATGTTGTCGGTAAGTACTGCTCAAGTTCATGTTTGCAAGAGTGTTTAGAAATGAGGAGACCCCACAACCAATCAGTGTGAGCCACTTGGAAACCTTCAACTGACGATTTTCAACATAGTCAGTTTTGAGACATTAACACGATTCATCCAGCAGTTTTGCTAATCCATCCAGCAGTTTTGCTGTTCGGAAATTCGCTTGCCAGTACACTAAACTGCTCCATACCGAAGCTGGAAACTCCTTCGAGATCTCCCAGCACGTCTCGCGACTTCTCGTAATGCCCAATACTATGCTTGCGCCAAGGACACACCAGGCAGCATTGCAAATCCACCAGAGGAGAGCAGGGAAACAAACGTACAAATCGGCGTGTTTTTGCATTCCTATGGTTTTGTGGTGTCTACAATTAAATGGTGTTGTCAGTCTCAAAATTAATGTGTATATATATATATAAGATGCATCAAGATGCACATCAAACTATGAACTAAGTCGGAACTCATTTGCTGTTTGTGTCAATCTGGTGATGTTTCCCAACTCTTAGTTCCACGAGGAACGTCCTCGATAATCCTTTATTGGAAGCTGCCACAACGTGTGACATCCTTTGGCACATGTTTGTTGGAACTCCTCGAATTGGGGGCGAAAACTCGGCATGGCTCCGGCCTTGTCCGTCGCCGACTCGGCCAGCTCCAGGGAGATCTTCGCTTGGTTCTCTTCGATGCGTCCTTGGAGCAGTGGCTGTCTCGGCCGGAGGAGGCATGGGGGATGGAGACCTACACTGTGGCTCGGAGGAACGGCTCGGAGGATGGAGATGTTGATGTAGAGAGCTTTTGGTCAATGTTTTCGGAAGTTCTATGGCTGCGTTTGCGCTGTTGAGGTTTTGCATGTGTGGTTTGTAAAGGTTTGGACGGGTGTGATCAGTTTGTGATATGATATGCTCCTTTGGCGGTATATTGCATACTCCAACTCCAAAAGAAAGACATGGCAGAGGAAGATGTTTGATGATGTCTCCTTGGAAGACAACTTTCCTCTACATGCAACACTTGCGATCCCAACCACCAGGTACATCCCTTGATCCCTTGGGTTAGACCCAAGTATATACTGTAGAGCTATGGCTGTACGAGTCAGAGTTTGTATATATTATATATATATATATCTCATCATAATGGAGTGAGTGTGTCACTTGAAGCCCCCAGAACTGCTGAAAAATGCTCTTGATGAACAAGATCTCCCACTAACTGAAAGACAGTGCACAACGAATCCGCTAACAACAAAAATGGACTAACTGATGTTTGAACTGACATGTCATAGCAATTTGGAAGGCGGAAAAGAGGGGATAAGAGGGGATACCGGAACCCCGGTGGCTATCCGGTGTCCGGGACCTCCTGTGAACCCCAGATTCCCTCGCCACTTGCTGAGGTTGAAACCCGGATTTCTTCCTCAGCCCCAGCTTTTTTGCTGCGTTGAGTTGAGTTGACCGTCAGCTGCATTGCATCAGTGTATGTATAGATATATAGTTACACGACTATATAGGTCCTGCTTCTTTGATTGACTCTTTGTGAGTGCAACGTGAAGCGATTTCAGCGATGAAGATAGACGTCCGTGACGTCCGTGCGACGACGAGGCTTTGCCAGAAGTATTCTTGCAAATCTATTGTACGTTGCTCGAGTGCTCGAGGTTGATGCCTTCAGAAGTTGGGAGATCTCGCAGTTCAAGCAGATGGCGGACAGCTTCGTGGCTGGAGAATTGCAACTTTGTGGATGTGGATGATGCTAGTTCAGAGTACTCTTGAATGTCCTGTAAGAGGGTTTGGAGGAGCTGCCTTTTTTCTGGACTCAGATGGGAATGAGCGAGAACCCAGCTCTCAGCATGGAAAAAGCATTGGGGACATGAATTGAATTATATCATCAGAGCTGAAATGTTGTTGTGAACATTTACAAGCACCAGTAGATTATTGGTGTAAAGCTCCAGAGAAGCTCTGGTGCCGTCCATCGGAGAAAGCTCGGGGGCCCTAAGGTTTGCTGGAGGCCCAAGTGCAGGTTTTGGCATGTCAAAAGCTGGTGGATCCGTGGCTGGTGGATTACTTGTGCTCCAAAGGACACAGATGGCGCTGGATTTTGTGATGGCGGAGAAAAAACACAAAAACAATCAATTAACAGCGGTTTGATATGTGTTCACATGTTCTCTTGGTGGTATTTTTTGCATTCAATGCTTTTGTCCGTCCAACTTGTATCCCAACTTGCCCAGGATGTTGTCGTTGCACGTGTCGGCTTCATTAATTCCAGCAGTTTTATCTCCGGGTTGGCACAGTCTTCAGATGGTCCTTCCGCGGAGTAATCTGTGCTATAAGTTTTGACAAAACTTGGTAGAGGATGGGCATGCGTGGCGACTTTACTATACATCCATGTACATCCAGAGGTGTGCCAGTCAGAATCCCGTGTCAAAGTCCCAGAAAAGCTATAGCAGCATAAACTATTCGCAGCTATATATGGCCTTTGCTTTGGAATACTTTGGATGGATCCTTCCACCAATCGCGGGAGATGTACATACTTCGGTGGGGGATATTGTTCCCCAACCAGAACGGTCAGTTACTTGCAGTGGGGCTAAAGCACATCTAAACTAAAATCCATCGGAAAGCACGCGAAAAAGCTAACATCCATCCTGCCCCACGTAAAAGCCTGATCTGACACAAATCCGTGCTGATCCGGTGGCGTTACGCTGTCAACTCTCGCCAGGAGTGAGCGTGCTTTGGCGGCTCTCTATCCGACATGTGGAGTTTGTGAGGTGCTACTGACTGTGCCCAGTCGAAACCAACCGCGGTCTTCCAGGATGTTGTTCGATGTTGCACAGCCCCAGAACTCCTGGCTTAAATGCCCAAAACATGCATTATTCCCCAAACGGTGTGGCTACACTAGGGGTTCTTACGGTAGGAGTTATAAGGCCGGGTGTCTAATCGGAGGTGCTCATCGGCGCGTCCGGCTAATTCGCGGCTATTTACAGTACATCCGTTCACCTCGAGTTCTTTGACTGCGCAGGCTCGCAGAATCTGGTGGGCTGGCGTGGGTGCTCTTCGAGACTGCGCTCTCGTTGTGGTGCCATGCACATTTTCGGACTTGGTGATCACTTTTCGTGGCAGGCGCAAGGGAAACCTCGGGCTTGGGCGATCCAAAGTCGACTTTTCGTGACAGGCGCACGAGATCGGTGCTCTCATGGGTGCTCTATGACATGTGCTCCCATATGTGCGCATGCCGCTTGCGTGTGCTTTTCATATGCGTGGTCTCTAGGCCTCCAGCCCGATCTGTAGACGACTCTCTTCCCCTCTAGACTTGGAACTCTTGCCCTAGACCTTTGATTCTAAACCTTGCTTGTGAGCCATCACCACCATCACCATCACCATCATCACCACTGCCATCACCACCACCGCTGCCATCGCCGCCAGCATGTTGGCAAAGTGTGCAATTGGAGCTTGACTCTGGTCTGCCTGTGCACAGGCACAACACCTTGAACTACTTTTGATGGGGATCCTTATGGGTGTATAGACTTGGGATGAATAGGGAGACTCTTGAAAGACCCCTGGGAAGATCAACCATCAACAAAAAATTAAAATGCATTGGCTTCAGGGTCTTCCTCTTTTGATAAATGGATATGCACACTCATATGACCCATACGTTCACCACTGCAACTGGTTTTGGCTGTGCCATCTACTCCGGAAATAAGCCAGCAACCGGCAAAAACTCCCCGCAGGCGCCTCACTGGAGCGCGTCCTGTGACCTCCTTGGCAGCCACGGTGAAGTGGGGAGAGGTCATGGGCAAAGCAGCTTGACTAGCGAACCTGGCAGGAGGAGAGTCATTGGAGATGAGAACCAGCAGCCAGTCGGCTGGTGTAGCTGAAAGAATCAATTTGTTACTTGCACAAGATGTTTCAGCAGTGTGAAAAGGGTACAAAGTAATGTTTGGCGGTGATCAAACATTATACCATAGTATACCATAGTATACCCTTACAACCTGCAATCACCCAGAACCCACGAGTGAGGTTGGATCGATTGCGCTGAAACGAATTTGTCAGCGAGACTATGTGCTGCTGACGCCTCCAGCGGCTCGGAGATGGCTAGTGCATCCACTGGGTTTGTTACGGCCAAGTGAGTTCCCACCTTCTCCTCCACTTTGCAGACATATACTGTATATAAACTTATCAATGGGGAACCAGACCCCTACCCTGAAAACATGTTGCATCCATTTATAGTGATTGGATGTCCTAATTATACTTCAGTAGATGGCAGGTCAAGGGTTTTTGCGCACTTGTGCATTTTGCTGCAAGCATTGTCCAGCAAACCTATCGGTGGACCATGGCCATCCCTGGTGAGTTCCTGGTGCTGCAGTCGAGGCGAATGGGATGAATATCTCAACCATCTTGGTGTCGGCTCCGGATGATCATGCGCTACAAGAGCTCAAGCACCTTGGTGAAAACAATGAGGAAACCAGGTCAGCTTCACCCAGCAGAGGGCGCTCGTTTGGTTTGGTTTTCCAGTCTTTGAAACCACTGTTTATACCTTATGAAATATTGCCATATCGCTGTTGGATTCATTGGGTTGGGCTTGGGCTCGTTTGCTTGAAATGGATACCTATATAAACATATATAAACCCATGGCCCAACTACTTCACATGTTTGAGGCTGGAGCGGCTGGAGCTTGCGACATCGATGTATTGGAAGTTTATTACAGAAAACCACGTTCGTCCACCGTTGTCCATCCTGATTGGTGCAATCATGTGCAATGTGTATTGTACAGGCGTCAACAAAGCTACTTGTATAACTAATGTTGAAGCCAAAGGATGAGTGTTGATGGACAAACACCCGGCAGACAAAAGTCCATTCTTCCAGTGCGGGGGTTTTCTTGAGATCAAGCGATGCAGGCTCTTGTTCCAGCTGTTTCGATTAGAAGGGACTCGGCACATTCGGACAAAGCAACCCCCCAGCTCACAGACAGGACTCTTGATACTAAGTTTTCCGGTCGTTAGGGGATGTTAGGATTCTCAAGGACGCCTTGAATCACCTAGATGCCTTACACACATTTACTCCTGCTTGCACTTGGCCTTCTCGGTGGGTCGGCTGTTCGGTCCGACGTCCGATGAATCTGAGGCAATGCGTGCCGCAAGTGGGAGCCCCAGTTGGTTCGGAGGGGAGTCACAGTGTAGTCAGTGTAGTCGCTGGACCGAGAGAAGCAACACCTGGAACCCTGCAAAAACGAAAGCATCACTCCGTCTCACCCGGGATCCGAGATTAGAATCCCCTGTAAATCATGGGAAGGATCAATTTGGATGAATTTGGAGCTGCAGCGGGACTTCTGGGGGGGCAAAAAAAGGGGACTATAGCCCTTCCACAGTGACCAATGTCTTGGCAGGCCGTGCACTGCCTTTGGGCCACCGTGCAGGGCAGTGGTTTTGTGGTCCCAGGCGCTGGCTTGACGCTCGACTGGGAATTCCAGTCGCCAAGTGTCTTGGACATGTGCTTGACCCCGCAAAAAAAACAGGCTATAGCATCCGGTGTTTGGCATGTACACCTTAGTGGTTATGAACATTTATGAATGAACCATGAAAACCACATGTTGATTGGTCAAACACCATGTTGGTTCTTGTTCCTTTTTGGTTTTGGTGGATGGACACCTTAATTCTTGTGTTTTCTAAACTATGCCGTGGCCTCCGGTCACAAGGAGGCACGGCATCCGGCCTCATTCCGGGAGGTTCATGTCCCCAAAGATGTCCAAGATCTTGGGACTAATTATGTTATATGGTAAAAAGGATGCCAAAGGAATCCATGACTTTTTGGTGTTCACTGTCCTGTTTTAACTGCATTGACCACTGCCTCCTGCTTTTCTGTGCTTTCTTGTGATCAGATCTTTTGTGCCGGCACACCACCTTCGCCGGTTTGGCCTCATTCGCCAAACCGACCGGCCAAGCTTCGCCAAACCGTTCCGCTTCGTTTCAGAGGATCGAACTTCAACTGGCCATGGATTTGGACCAATGGGCGCAATCTCTCCAGACTCCTGGAGATGAAAGACTGGGATACCAGGGACGCTTCGTTCTTCTCCGAGTGAAAAAAACCATAAGAAGGGGGAATTCTCACACCGCTTGGCGGGGGAGACTGTTGTGGCGGGTGTCCCACATAGTGCCATATAATTTGAGAAGCAGGCGGAGGCAGTGCTTGGTTTCTTTTCCCAGAGACCTGTCCTTTTAGACCGTTCGAGGGACCTCTGGACTCGACCGGTCAACCTGTCGAAGTCGCTGAAACAAACCAGTGGTTGGTTTCAAGCTCAGACCGACTCATGTGTGTAATTATGGGAGTATTGCACATATGTCCATTCATTGCTTGACACTTACATAAGTTAGAGACAGCCCCTTCTTCACTCAGGGTGTCTCCTTCAGGTAGTTGATGCAGGGACCATTTGGTGCCTTGTCAAATTCGAAGGCATTTGGAAGTTTGGACAGCAGGCTCCCATAGGTTATGCCCTTCCTTTTTTGATCCGCACCGCTAAATGTATGGTTGGCCTGTTCCAAAGAAGACCAACAACATTTGAGGATTCGTCAAGGCAAAACCATGCTTCAGGCTTCAGGCCAATCAAGAGTGGAGCTTGAGAGGTTCGCTGGCTTTCTGGTGAAGTTCTTGGTATCTATATAATGGGTGAGATGTTCAAACTCAATATGGCTTTGGGGCCTTTTGGGGGGTGTTTCCCTGTACCTGTCCTAGCCAATGCATCCGAGATGTTGACCATTTTCCTGTCAAGGAAGGAGGAGCAGCCCACGCACACAGCTGGCCGGGACACGTTGGTCTTTGCCATCAAGGCTGTGGCCACATGCTTCAAGGCAGGACGCAATGCAGCTGGGTTTGAACATCATAGTTTACAGATGTCTAGACATTTAGGAACATGGGCATCCAAACAAGTAAATAGTTACACAAGATTGAACAAGAGGCAACGCAAGCCTTTGTTCCTGGGACGCACCGCTTTCTTCCTGATGTTGGCTGCATGGACAATTGTATATCATTTGGGATGAGAGGGGTGGAGATGACTCCGTTGTTGTCCTTTACCCTCGCAAGTCGCATTTCATTTGGTTTCACTATATATACCTTTGAGAAACAAACACGGAAACTGTCAGCAGGGATTACGATGATCATTTGTCTATGAGAAAAGTGTGATTTGCATGCGTCTCTTTTCTACAGACTTATGGGTCCACATGTTTTGATGGTGGCATGATTTTTTGACCGTTGCTGACAGAGCTATTTTGCAGAGGACGCAGCAGCGAGTCTCGTTGAAGAAGCGGCAGAACATCAATGCCCCAGCGCCAGTGCGGCGGGCATTGTAGCATGGTTGGACTGGGTTTGGAGAAACATGACAACAATTTCTAACCCAGATCCGTCAGAACAAAATCGTTTAATATTTCCTAGTGGGCTTGACTTGTAGACAATTCTATTTGTTGAATGGTGGGATGCATCACACTCTTGGGTGTAGATAACTTATTTGCACTATTTTTGCTCGTTGATGGCTTTGAGGCGATGATGGATGCTGCAACTGAAGCACTTCAGCGCTGGAAAGAGACCTCCGATCTTCCTGCTGGCATGGTCTTTGATGCAGAGCCCCTTGCAAAGCATCAGCCGGAAGCAGGTCCCTGGGACCGGGGTGTCCTTTAAAACATATTTCAAGTTAGCACTTAGAGAACATGAGTTCTGAATCTTTTGGATGTACCTGTACACCGGCGGGTTTGGAGAACCTCCCGAACCGGGCTTCATATTGACTCAAAAGGACGAGGCAAAAAAAGGACGAGGCACACGCGTACTACCACGGGGATCCACGGGGTGTACTTCAGTTTATGAACAGGTATAGTAATTACTCCTGACGCATGGTCCCTAGTGATTAGCTTGATTTCATCCGGATTTGTTCCTCCAACTTTACCAGCTGGCGAGTGGAAAGACTAAGCCTTACAAGAAGGAAGTAGGGGGAAGACATGTCATCTCCTCATGACCCATGTCAGCACTGACAGCAACCGAGTAGGGGACTTCCACAAGGATATGCACAGGCGCTTTTAGAGCAGGTTCGTTCGTAGCCAGCTGGTGTTGGCTCCGCCAGCCCAGTGTATTTGCTGTTCTGTGTTTATCGGGCGTGGCTCAAAGCCACATACTTCCAACATTAACTGATTCCTTATGGGAAGCTGAACGTCCTCCACTAGGCTTGAGGTTTGTTCCATTCCCACCAAGATTTGGTAAACAGGAATGCAAATTCTTGTGACCCGGACCATTCATGTGAACGGTCGTGGTGGAGAGAGATCATCCGAATTGAGACTATCCGATTTCGACTGTTCCTCATGTTGGGCATATACTTTGCTTGTGATCCACATCTCCCACCACAAAATGGGTACCTTTGGGGACAGTACTCCTTTTCGTCCTTGGTCCAAGATATGTTTGTGTAGGGAGGATAGAACAGGATCTCAAGCACTCTGACAATCTGACTGCGGTCTATAATGGTTGTTGCAGCTTTCCTTTGCAAGTATACAGTATAAGTTCTAAGGTGTTCTAAATACTTCACGTATGTTCATGCACCAGTTTCCCAGACCCCAAGCTCCCAAGGTTCCGCCCAAGCACCGCATCGCGGTCTTCCAAGCCCCCCCGTCCAGTCCCCCGAGCCGCCGAGGTCTTCCAAGCTTCGCTCCATCCGAAGCGCCATCGACCTCGCAGCGGTGCTGCTGCGCATTGGGCGGACCTTGGACTTCCGGACGCTTTTCAGCGAAGAACCGTAGGATGGAAGCATCCCGAGGGATCATCCTAAACAACGTAAGAAGGTGACTATTTTATGTAGGCTTAGCTCCAATCACCTTCTCAGAGCCCGGGTGGGCATCTCAACTCTCAAGTTCTTCGGAGGAAAGAGTTCGGTGTTGGCGTGGAAAGCTGGAACATGTGGGGCCTCGGGAGCGCAAGCGTTCCTATGCCGCGGGTCGACAGGCGACATGGGTCCATGACATGAAGTGGGACGGCTCAAACCGTCGGAAGACAACATGTTTGCGATCCAGGGCCAGGCGGCCAGGCGGCCAGGCCATCCAATTCCACACATGTGATTTGGAGCTTATTGTTTGCTTTCCCACGCGGTATACAAGCAAGAGTTTCCCTGTGTTTTGTGGCTTTGAGCACCATTTCACCAGGGATGGATGACATCAGCCCATCATCCTGTTATTCCGTGGGGCGGTTACAATCAGCTTTGAGAACTGAACATGACGGCGCTCTGAGGACTACCACCATTGGGTTGCCAAGTGTGAAAAGAGCCGGTTTTGAGTGGGTCCGGGAGGCTTGAGTGTGTTCTTTTAGTAATATGTTGACTGACTGATGCCTTTGCCAGTGTTCCCCATCAGATTGCTCGAGCGGAACAATACTTCAGTCCCGGGCGAGTGGACCAGGTCCTGCGCCCCAAAGTTCCAAAGATATGTCAAGAGCCCGTTCGTTCAGGACCTTTCCATCGGGAGTCTCATGCCAGGTTTGCAGGACATGAACACATTACACTAAGCCTTCATTCATACCATGATCACTACAATCTTTGGTGTCGTTCCCTCATGACCCTCTCCACACATATATGTGCGTCGTTTGGGTCGGGTGCTGTGCAACCACCGCTTTAGTCATGGCCGCAGCCGAATCAGTGACCTCTTCCACCAAAGTGTGCGACCCGAGCCCAGAACTGGGTGCGACCCTCACGCGAAATCACACGCCCAAGAAAAGGTTGGAGCAAAGACATCGAAGTCCTCACTTCGACATGTCCTGTACATTAGAACATTAGATCGATTGTTCCTTCAGAATTCTTCTTAAGTTGTTGCTTCACATCCGCAATCCGCATCCGTTCGAAGTCTCTACGATGGCACCGAAAGTGCGAAAAGCGGCGCCTCTCGGCAGGTTTCAGCTCCGAGAAAGCGGAGGGATTTGAAGAGACGCCACGGGTCTGTTTTTTTTTCAGTTTTTTCGGGTCCTGGTAGATGGGTGGTCACTGTTTGCCGCTGGCCTTATCACTATAGTTGGATCCCGGGCGGAATGGAGGTGTGGAAGGGCTTGATGTCAAAGCTGACCATGCCGTAGATGTCGAAGCGTGGGTGATCAGTCTTCAGATTCTTGAGTCCATTTACTTTCATGGGAGGAGATCTGGCAGAGTCAGGTCTGTCAGGATCGGATTTCTGTCGAGTCCACCGTATCTACCAGTCCACAGAATCACCCTGTCTATTGCTGTCTATCCCATCCACAAGCTGTTTCTTCGGGGCTTCGTCGAGCGAGAGACACTCCGAGCCTCTGAGCCGTGTACTGAACGCTTCAGCGATGAGGCACACGGAGAAGGTCGCTCAGCAGACTGAAGTGCAGAGCTCAGCACGTGCTAGACTGTGCGTGTGGGTTGGTGGACTAGCTAGAACCCGCAAAGCACAGTAGGAAACTTGTTCATGTTCATTTCAACTCTGACTCGGTTGTGCTGTACATGCAATTGGCGACACCTATATAACCGCCAAAGTCCGGTGCCCACAGTCGAATTCAACATATTATATAAGACGTCCATACTTATTTTTTGTTTTCCGGAAGCAGTAGATCTTGGGTCGATATACGTATTGTATATGGAGCGTTTGTCAATGTTTGTCAAACATACAACCTGGGTATAGAAACAGGCGGTGAACTGAAGAGCATCACTTCAAAGAACGGAATTCTTGTGGGCTTTCACAGCTCTCTAGTCCGACCGTATGTCATATGGAAGTGGTGAAGAACTTGGCCACGGCCCGCTGTAGGGTGAAAGCCCCAACCGACCGGTGCACCACCAAATGAAGAGACGACGAAGGATCATGGTTTTGGGATGTTTTGGGGATTTAAGACCCAGACCTAGATGCTGGAACTTGAACACATCCAATTTCACCACATCCAGCTACCGCTGGACATACTCGACTTACTGGCTTTCTGGGCTCTTGAGGTCGAGCAAGTTGCGGTCCCAATGGAAGACACCTGGATGCGATCAGCGTCATTGACGATTTTGGAGATTGGCCGAGTTGATAGAGGGATATGCTGCCGAAGATTTACTGTAGTTGGTATCTCCAAACAGGCTTATGTTATCTTATATTGACATATTTCTGAAACTGCATGGTATTTGGGAAGCAGCCCGTGGACCAGAAAGCCAGCGGAACAGAGACTTTGTGCATCAACCATACTGTGAAGATCTTTGAAGGATCTTCGGATCTTCTCCTTCAACAGATTGTCAAACGGTCGCGCTGAAGGGCAGCTTCTCTGATTTGCGCGACCAACCTACTGTATAATGATGCTGTATGTGGGGATGGATTCAAAGACTTTCGCTGGTGGACAACACATGGTCCGAGATTGGTGCGTTGTTTGGTTGATCTCGAGAAATGCGTCATTTCATCAGATAAACATCCATTCATTTGGTGTGTTGTTGTGTCATTTGATTTCTCTTTGCAAAGCCAGCATTCGATCCAAGCCACCCGCATTCACCCACATTCGATCCAAGCCACCCGGCACGTTCAAATCCCCATTAATTCATCGGGGCCCGGGGCGCATTCCAAAAAAGCTCCAGATCCACCTCACTGAGTGACAGAACTGGATGTGTCGGCGCACACCTTTTTCGTCGCTCGTTGCAGCGGGTCGGTCCCCGTGGTGTCGAGGGTGGGCTCCGGGAGGCTCAACGCCACGGCGCCGCTGTTTTTGAGATCGGAGCGGAGTCAGATCGATCAATGGAGTTAGTATTGGGTAGTAAGGACTTCATGTTTTACCGGTAGTAGCCAGAGTTGGGAGAAATCACCACCAGCCCCTAAGCGTCAAGGATGAGTTTGACTGCTTTACTGGGTAACAGGGTCGCCGAAAGTTGCCCAAAGTGGTGATCTTGTGACGGTAGTGGCCACCAGGAAGAGGAACACCCTCCAAAGCCTTCTAAGAGCATGCATGTGGCTTTGGGGGCCCAAATAGTTGAGTAAACAGAAGTACTTCAGTGATCTTCAGTGAACATTAGTACTTACTACAGACATCTGCAGACATAAACTAAACCATGTGGACACCATCCTCCTGAACCAGAGAGTATATCTACTATATTCTACTATCTACTCGTCACCAATTCCTTCGCTTCTGCCCGGCCACAGGTCAGTGACCCAGAGCGAGCTGCTGAGGGTGACCAGGAGGGGAGTGACGCAAACTGGGTTGGTCCAAGTGGTTAATCCAACTGATTGATCCAAGTGATTGATCTATGAACCACCATTCTTTTCGATGCGTTTTGTGGGGCCCATGCCACTGGGCTTCATCACGGAAAGACCGGTGGGTGTCTCCAAAGACGGTAGTCGAGCCACTCCGATGTTCTGAACGGTCACCATGTTTGGAGGTTCCGGTGCCATGTTCTGAACGGTTGGCGCGACTGGCGGTCACCTGCTTGGAACATCTGAAAAGCTTGCAAAGAATCCAAGAACTGTTCCAAACAGTCCATCATAGTCATCTGAACTGCTGAACTGCATGTTTTGTTTGGGCTTGTGCATGCTTGTGAACCAGCCAAAATCAAAGCCATCATTCAGCTTGTTCTGTACTGACTAGTAGTACTACCAGTAGTATATTTATGAAGTGACTTTGTGGTTGCACAAACAACATCAAACATAGTATATATGTCTTCAAACTTCTTTGACTATACACTCCACAAAGGCACTTTGGAGCGGGGAACAGAATATAAGGAAATATGATATAAATATGGTTTCAGCACCCAAACAGTGTTTGTGGAATGCCCTGTCACTCAATGCCCTCGACTCCTCCAAAATGAATCAGGCTCGAACAATGCACTGGAGCTTCTGGAATGGAACACCACTTGCAGCTCATATTGAAAAGCAGTCCCAACTTGGGTTCCAGGCGGCTCCAGGGCGAATGGAATTCATATGGATTCATCAGGTAAATTCCTGAAAACGAGTTGGCGGCAAAACTGCAGGTGGAGGACGTGCAGCCGGGGGAAAGGAGCACGACCTTTCTTCAGCGGACGCCTTCGGCTCCGAACTGAGCCGACTCTCCGTTCAGCTTTTGGCACAGGTCTTTGATAATCGGACGATGACATGACTCGCATGCCCCAAAGTTCCCTTCAAGATGCGACATGACGATCGGGTGTGTCCCATTATTCAGAAAGAAAGGCTTGCTGGCAGTGGGATATACCCAAGACATGACCGTTCGAAAACGGAAAATAGGCTTCTTACCCAATATGCCACGAGTGCCCTCTTCGCGATCGAAAACACAGCGATGCGCCGAGGCAACGAATCAAGCCGCATCTGATCTTGCCAATGACAGGCCTTTTAACCTTGTGTGAAAAGCCATTTTAGTAGGGACATTATTCCCGGGGTCAATTTATACATAATAGCATCAGAGGCAAACGGAAGGGTAGTGCGCAGAAAGGGTTTTGCAAAAACCTATTCTACATTTCTACTAACATCGCGGAAGGCGCGGGATATTCGTAGAACCCAAGGCTATTCGTGGACAGTTCGTGGAATGGTGGGCCAGTAGGAGAACTGACTGCAACGAAATCCCAGAAACCTTCGCACTAACTTCGTATAAGGGATTTTTGCTGACCCCCTTTCTCCACACACCTTCCATTTAGCCTTCATAGCAGTTAGTTAGTAGTTCATAATTGTTCTTCAACACAATTTTGGTTTGGGATCCTTGTTGGTATTCAGACTTGACTTGTTCTCTATACACATGGATTACCCTTCGTGCACACTTCTTGATACCCTTGCACCTCGCATGTTCAAGCATGATATTTTTGGGAGTGCATGTTGATGATGGCTTGAACTGGCTGAAACATGCAGACTAAACTTCAGGGCAGCACGTATTGTTTGCAACCCCATGCAACCATTTGTTGGTTAACACTTTACTTCATCATTCCACATAAAGAGAACAGTTGACAAACATTGACAAAGGGTGTCTCATCTAACAAATTTGCAGCCATGTTTGGAATGTGGGAAGTAGTTGGCAACCCTTATATACCCACTTAACCTGGTACTGTACAAAACATGTTCATCAGAGACCGAAAGCTCGCCAAGAGAGCCAAGACTCTCAAAGAGACCTCTCAAAGGGTCGCTCCTGAGAAAGGTAAACTTAGCAACTTATGTATTTATATTGCTTACCTGACTCCAACTGCCCAACTTTGTTTGCGGACTTCATACTCTTCAAGCGCCATGAACCACTTCCCACGTCTTGGAGGGAAGTTGGGTCATGGGTCTACTATGTCACGAACATATTATATACCTAGAACCCATTTCACCTCAGTTTTGATAGGAAAAGACCATCTTTTGGGTGGTTTGTGGC